GGGTGTGTGGGTGTGTGGGTGTGTGGGTGTGTGGGTGTGTGGGTGTGGATGTGGGTGTGGGTGTGTGGGTGTGGATAAAATGGAGACCCACACCCAGACCTAAATATTTCTTTGATCACTTCGTATTGATTATGAATATTAAAAAAAGTTATTCATAGAAAATATTAACACATAACGTCTAGTTTATAATTGATTATTTAAGATACATGAAATGTGATATAAATGTATAGTGTTTTTTTTTATTTGAGCTAGTGAGAAATTAATGCCTCACGGCCTATTAATACATCCTACAATAGGGAGCACAACATGGACCAATATCACGAAGTAAGGAGGAAAAGGAAGGCAAAGAGAGAGGGTGTGGGTGTGAGTGTGGATATAGCTGTGGGTATTCTCTTTACACCCACACTCACCCTGAAGGACTCGATGTAGAACTTTTTAATCCAATGAATACTTATATCATTATTGATGTCCCTTGGCTGCAATCGTCCGAAGAAAACCATGGACAATGATCTATTTCATAAGAGTATTACTCGTTCTATTCATGTTATTTTCAAAACTTCGTTATAATGATCATCTTACTCTAGAGTGTAGTGTAGACAAGACTAGAACGATTGTTTTTTGTTGTTGTATTTCTTCTAGTTGCTTTTTTATTTAGATAGTATGAGAAAATGTTGTTTTCTATCTCATAGATTTATTTTGTTTCCTACTTCATATAGTAGTGTACTAGAAATTTTTCACTCTACATATTTTGTATTAGTTTAGTGAGGCTAGAGAACATACGTAAGTTCCACATCTCAGCTTCATCGGGGCTTCGCTAATAAGTTTTTTTTTTCTAGATCGAAATATCGATAATATAGACTGTAATAAAGATTCAATCAAAATGTTAGGTTCAACTGCTCAAGCTGGTTGGTATGAATCAGTTTCACAAATACAAGTACTTATTGAACAACAACAAAACTTCGAGAACAACAAGAAGGAACTAAAGAAGAAGAAAAATTCTCGTGGTAATCAGCGACTCCAACACTATAGAAGAAAATGTTGAGCACGATGGATGAATGATCAAACCGTAAAAATGTTAGTGACAATGCATCAAGCTCAACGGAAACAGACAACTATGGAGTGGTGGATGATTCTTTTGCCATGAATATCAATAAGGATATTCAAGTGTCCATGTTCTATGGAAACCAAGTATGATCAAATGATGAATAAAAACAAGCACGATGTTTTTTTTTGTATAGAACCAATGCAATAATTCATCATCTACAAGAACACATCAAAAAAAGAACAAACATTATGATTTACCTACAGATGATTGGAAACAGACATGCAAACTCTTACCAAATTATATGAACTTGTCTCATCATGAATTCGAACGTTTACTCTGCAAAACTATTCAAATGGATCATTATCAGATTCAACAATGCTTAGCAAGTACTGAAACATTACAATTATCACAACAACTTGCTATATTCATGTGTACTTTCTTTCAATTGAAAATCGAAGAAGACTATTGGCACTACGTTGCCAATTTAAACATGCCTATTGTGACTTGGTTATCAGAAGTATCGAAAGATGTAAGAGAAAAAAATTCCATTAATTGGGATTATTCGAAAACAAAACTAAATATTCAATATCAACAAAATCTCATTCAAAATAAATTACAACGGATAGAAATTAATTTATACAATTATTTACAACGATATTCATCAAGCTTAAAAATGAACGATAATAAAATGTCTTTTGAACGATGGATGAATATCATATGCAATGCTCTTGTTGTTCTCATACAAACTGATTTACATCATTTCAATACAAATTTTGAACAGAAGAAGATCTTATTTACCTATGATATCAATGGTGTACATCTTGTCAAATCATTCTATGATTTAAATCCAATAGAAGAACAGGTGAATCTTTTATTTAGCCTAACTTCTCTTATTCTTCTTCTTTTCATAGGTTTATTCTACTCAACAAATTTGGCGATCAAAATTAAAAGCATGTCAGGAAGCTATTACTCAACAAAAGAGACGCTGGCCAATGAGTGATCAAGTTATGGTTAAAGCAACAATTCTAGGCAATCGTTCGATAACAAATATGAAACAATATGAATTCGACATTGATGCTAATAATGAAAAGAATCAATTATCATCTATGAAATGCTTTTCTCCTTCAATGCGTGCTATTATCCAAGCTCGTCTCGACCATATCAAACAACGTGCTCAGCAAATTAAAAAAATTATTCATGCTTCATCTCAAGAATAACGATCTATTCTTTATTATAGATTTCACTGAGGGTGTGGATGTGGGTGTGAGTATCAGTCTTCTCTTTTATAACACCCACCCACATCCATACACCTACATCCATAGCCATCGATACCCACGCCCTGAGTTTAATTGGCTGCGATGGCGACTCCGAAAACGACTCTGTGCAGGACTCCATTTAGAAGTGATGATCAATTTTCCACAAAAAAAACATTTCGTTGCAACAAAAACCACATATTTAATAGACACACTCTTCAATGTCGGTAAAGATTGTTTTTATCATTGAACGGTCAAATTGAAATGAGCAAGCACTTCGTTGAATATCGAATGTAGGAATCGTAAGTGCACATGAGGAATCTATATATATAATGTTCAGTGTATACTAATAATTTAGAAGTACAAACACTAGAAAAACCATCCAACTTTCAACTTCGGAGCATTTTGTAACTGATGAATGTTAAGAAACAGACAAGATCTGAAAGCTAAAACATATCCCACTATTAGACATAACCAATAATGCATCAAGTGTTGTAGAGCAATTCTTCGTTAAAAATTTTCCACTATTAGTCACTACTTGAGTATTGTTTATTTTGAGAAAAGTCAAGTACAAGATCTCTGGTATAGTGAGTGCTTTGCTCATTCCAATTCCATACTCCTACGTTGTGCATGTGTCGAACTCCGCATCTGGTATGTGATTAGTTAGTATGTACGTGGAACTCAAACAAATGAGCGAAAGATCTCGAAGTTTAGGTAGTCTTTTCTCGAAATTAACAGTTGATGCCAGTTATAGAGAGAATACCAGAGTTACACCACTGGTTTGAAAAAGCATTCTATATCATCAGATACGGGAAAGTGAAATGTTCTCCTTTTTTTTCTGTGTATTTTATTGGTTAAATATTTCAAGTTTCTCTTGGTAGCATTTTACAAAGAACTGATTTAAGCTGTTGACAATGAAATTATTCTTGATTTCTTTCTTATTTTCCGAAATAGATCAACTAATCGATGCTAATGGGCTAGCTGCTCGAGTCTGGCGACGAGATTGGCAGAGAAAACACCCTGCGCCAAAATTCGACGCAGTTCTCTATATGTCGTGTTCCATTGTAATAGCTCGTCAGCCTTGAGCGTAACTACTTTCATCCTGCTTTGCATGCGGAAGAATGCACTATTATCGTCATCTTGAATACGTTTTTTGAGAGCGTTGGTGGCCACTCCGCCTGTATCCAGAAGGATTGCACGAAGATCAGCTGGTAATGCATTGAATCTTCTCGATGCTATGACCAAACCTCCGGTAACTAAGGAATTCACATCCATATTGATTGTATCGAATTTAGAAGACCATTGCAACTGTTCAGCCACAAGTGATGGTGCGTTAATAATATCAATTAAACCCAAATTAAGTTGTGGAAAGACCGCAGAAATACTAATTGATACAGGTGTGAAATTACCAATGACTTGATATAAAACACGCTCGATAGGGTTGTTCATGTCGATGAAAAGTTTCTTGCCTTTCACATCGTTTGGTGTCTTCACGTTAAATCCCTTGGAAAATAGATGTACAGCTCCAAAGTCGCTCCAATCAAAGAAGGTGAAGCCTGCATTATTCATTCCTTGTTGAAACTCTGAATCTATCACTTGACGTGCAGTGTTCAGTTTGCTTCAGGTTTTAAAGAGTCCAGACATTTGTAGAGCTAGGATTGGTGTGTAAATGCGACCTAAACCAACTGCTGTGAGAAGTGCTCCATCCAATTGACCAATTTTCATCTTGCGGACCATATCACCTTCATCACCTTGAGTACTGCTGTAGAAACACTGGATTTCCAATCTACCGTTACTCTTTTCCGCGACAGCTGTCGTCCAGACACCGAATACTTGGCCCCAGGGACTTGATCGAGGAGCAAAAGTAGCAATCTTGATCACTTCTAAACTACTTACAGCGTATAGAATCGTGATGAGTACGCAAATAAAAAATTTTGACTTTAAACCCATTTTTATTACGTGAACCAAACTAATGAATGAAAGAAAAAAATAGTATCTTTATCAAAAACTTGTAAAACCACATCCACAATCAATAAAGCTTTAGATAAGTTTTATTCACCGCTCTGACATCACTTTTACCAGTTTCTATGTGAAATCCATCGAAGGAAATAGAACGGCGTTAGAAAAATGAACGTCGATTATTCAGGTCTCTATAAAAGCATTGCACAAAGTAAAAAGAGGCGATTGTATGACGGTGCAAATGACACGAAAGGAAAACGATGGTCTGTTTTCACACAACATTCACACAATCAACCTTTACTGGAAGACAGCTTATTTCACAAAAGTTTGAACATCTTCAACAGTGTCATTCTTTTTGAAGCATGTATACATTTTTTGTTTTCTTATGAAAAACCTAAGTAAAATAGCAGCGAGAAAATGTTGCTCATTCGCAACTACTAACAAAATATCAAAAGCATAGAATGAAAACAAAAATAATTCATCATACACACAAATATATATATATAAGTATATAATGAGGAAAAGATGTAGGACATAAAATCAAAAGAAAAATACAACGTTGCATGCTTATAATGACGAAAAAATGACAAGTAGTGATTGAAAAGAAAAATACAACGTCATATATTTGTAATGAGGACAAGATTGCAGGCATTGATTGCAAAGAAAAGTACTACCTTTCGTATTTATAATGACGAAATAATGACAACCAGTAATTGAAAAGGAAAATACTATGTCGCATATTTATAATGAGAAAACGATGTGAAGCACCGAACTAAATCAAAGAAGAGTATGTGACCGTTTACGACCATACCGAATGTTACGAAGCATGGGTGAAAATGAATCAACCAAGCAAACTAATATACGTTTCGAAAGTGTTTAAGAGTCTCGTCGGATGCCTTCATATTTTTGAAGTTATATACGTTTAGTTTTCAAGAATTAAGTTTGATATATGCTCCCATATCTCAATAGAGGTTGACGTGGTGTACAGAATTGACTTACCACGAATATTTTTTTATTTCCTCCGAAAAGGAGCGAGTTACGCAACCATTATAACAGGCCCCGCGCGAAGGGTCAGACTTTGGGGGGTGTTTGGCGATTTGGGGGGGGGGGGTGTAGAGGAGTATTTTCAACAGAAATCTCTAAGAAAAACGTAAAAAATAGCCAAAATTTGCTTTTTTTGCTGGGAAAAACAGAAAAATCTTGATTTTTGGGGGGGTGCACACCCCCCCAACCCCCCCGCTCGCGCGGGGGCTGCATTATAATAACATGAGTAATTCTTTTATCTTATTTTCCTAACAGCAACTCTTTTCAACCCACATACAATGAAATAATTGTATTTGGTTTAGGATGCTCAGGTGAGAGTGACAGATGGATACGATTGATCCAAAAAAATTATCTTTACGTATCATTGTATGAAAGCGAATCAATAGAAAACACTAATGATGAAAAAAGGAAAGAGTATTCGACCGTTTTATCTTAGACGGTAATACTTGAGGCATTTTATTGCCAATGAGATCATTGCTAATACCCAGCTGGTTTTAGTTCTAGGATCAGAGGATAATTTATCTGTGATAGAAGAAACCAGTTACGTTAAATTCTTTTGGTATATGCCATTCATATAATAAAGATTCGCAATATTCTGTATAAATACCGTAAACATGTCCAAACCTGATATCAGAGCTACAAAATTATTTTAGGGTATGTGAAAAAGAGAATCATACACCAATCTATTTTTCCTAGAAAGCTTTGACAGTTGCCGATCGATACCATACAGAGCTCATAGTTCATATTATTCTTAGCATTAAAAATACTCAACTGATCAAAAATAATGATGAAAATATGTGTTGTCTATCACTGTATTTTCTTCTAATCTGTCTTTTTGTATACCGGATTGTAACAGAAAGTGAAATATGTTTGATGAATAAAATGTGTGTTAATCTTCCATTAGATGATAAAAACTTGTTACATTGTAAAAAAGCAGTCGAATAATATACACCGGCGTCAAGAAAAAATTTCTATAAACCTACGAAGGATTTATCACACAGACATAAATCCTGAAACGGTTTGTGACTAGAAAAGAGTATGACAGTGAGGTCACAAAGAGAGTAAGAGGAAACAAGATCAATATTACGAAATCAAATTTGGAAACCACCCAATAAGTTATATTCCAATGTTTCTTTCCAAGATTTTATCCTTCTGTTTCAGATTCAGCTGAACATCATTAATGTAATGGATGAATGCATGAATGACATTCTCAGTTTTCCGAGACCTTGATAAATTGAATCAATTTTAGACTTATTTCAGACGATCATGATAAAAAAAATGATGAATTGAAGAATAGATTGTTGATTTTTCCGATGAATATATAGATTAAATTACGTGGAATAAGATCCATTCGCGTTTAGAAGATGAGTAGATCTATATTTTCATCCTCACTTTCTTCTTACAGTGTACCTCAAGAATTTCCGAATTTTTTCAAATGGTTGTAGACAGATGATGAATCCTTTCCAGGAATTCATGAAAACGCAACGTATAACAAAACGTTAACGGATTGTTTGTTTTCATAAACTCTGTCCGTAACCTTTCATAACAGGTACTTGGATTTTCTGAACCCTCGGATTTGGCTTGGATTGGGGATTTTTAAAAAGGTTATTGAGATGTTTATAGACGGTAAAAAAGAGTATTTTATAGGTTACACTTTCATGAACGCGTTAAAAGTTGATTAATCGGTGTTTATTTTTTCCAGTGTAGTGTGTGCGTACCATTATGTTCCATATAGTGACTTGACTGCTTGTGTGCCGAACGTCAGTTACAAATCTCATTGAATGTGACAACATGTCAGAAGAAAATCTTCTCGAGAATCCTGCCACACTTTCTCTCAATTACAGTATGACAAAGTCACTTACTATAAGCGATGTCCTTTTCGAAGAAGCTAACTTTTCCGTAAACTTGCCGCCGTGGAAAGCCTTGTACATTGTCCTAACATAATGTCTAGCATCACATAG